ATCACGCCGAACCGCTGCCCAGATCACACCAGAGCTGCCTGTCTCTGACCAAGCCGAAGCTTCTGCACCTGTTTCCGTAAGCGTGAGGAGAAGCGTGCATGAGTCAACACCGAGCCGCCGTGTTCTCGATCACGCTGCCGCCGTTCACCGTCGCCGGCGATCTGCTGCTCCAAGTCACTGCCATCGTCCGTGAATCGTTTCGGTGGTAAGAGATCCGAGTTTCTTTCGAGTTATTCCATCGGCTCCGTTGCACCCACTTTTCCCGAGAATGTTGAATTAGTGATCTGCCATTGTTGTAGTTACTTAAGCTCCAAGCTTCGTCCGCTCTGCTTATTTCCTGTTGTTGGTGTTGCTACGTCATTGTCCGTGGTAAGCAAAAGCGTTGCCTTCCTTCTGTCATCCGTTTTCGAGAGTTCATGTGATCGTGACTTGTTATGTTACCGTCTCTTGTGTTGCTTCAGCCGCAAGCTTTCTCTTCTCCATTGTTGTTTATGATTGGTGTGTGGTGTTTAGCATTCAATTGGTAAGCAAGATCTCTTCTGTTGTTGTCACGTTAACCATATTATAGGTATGCATAAACGTAACATGTGGGATATTATCTCTAATGGTTGCTTCAGGCCCAAGTAAATGTTGTCAAGTTGAGATCACTTTTGCCGTGTGCCATTCCCATCAGTTCAACCGAAAATCAAAGGTGAGGGCGAGATCTGTGGATTCTCAAAACTTCTAGTTAATTAGTATTCGTGAATGCTAGGTTTAGAAAATTGTTTGTTGATTGTGATGATTGAGAAAATGATGTCAAGTGATTGTTATGAGTTTAGATGATGAAATGTTAAGTTGATATGATGTGTTGGTAGAGAGTATATGTTATATTTTGGCGAAGTCGCACTGAGAGCGAGGACATGGTGATCTCGTTTAAGTCTGTACTTCAGTGCAGTCGGACTGAGAATGAGGACATGGCGATCCCATTAAAGCTCGTTAACCGGCTGAAGAGCCAAAGGGTGGTGGAAGACCTTTTGAGGTGCCCGACCAGCCCAGTGTCATGATAAATTATATTGAGTTAATGGTGGCGGAAGACCTTTCGAGGTGTCCGGCAGCCGGGTTGTCTTGTGATTTGTATGGAGTCGTGAGGTGATTAGTTTATTGTTGGTTAGTCGTGATTGAAAGTTCGTGTTGATTGCTGTCTGCTCTAAAGTTAGTATTTGCGTGTGCTGTTAAATAGTGGTGTTGGGAATCATGTGGACGGACATGACCAAGCTCACTGAGTGACTTTGTTACTCACCCCCTCCTTTTCTCCTCTTTAGTGTGTGCAGATGTGGTTCTTGTGGTGAAAGTTAGGGCGCGAGACCTAGGACATGAATGTGACGGGAATGGGTGTTACAATTTGGTATCAGAGTCTAGGTTAGCCAAGCCGGTTCTGACCCGAAAGGCTGGTCCTAGTAAAAGAAAAATGTTTTCAAAACTATTTTTTAAAAATAAATGTTTCCGGAAACGTTCAAAATGATTTGGAAAAAGTTTTCATGGAAAATGATCTTTAGTGTCTAAGGTCTCGCGCTAGTGTTGTGTTGTTTGGTGGCAAGTCTTAAGTTGATTGAATTGTTGGAATCTAAGTGCTAAGTTGTTTTATGCAAAAAGGGGTTTGTGTTGTGTCCGATTAGAAGAGGGTAGCACTACACTATGTTCAATAGTGAATCCACACCTAGTTGTGAGGTTTAGATTGACAAAGTGTTGAGCTTCAAAAAGCGTGTTGTTAAGAAGTTAAAGAAGAATTGGAGCCTCGCTGGCAGCAATAATAAAATCTTGAAGAAAGGTCGAGAAGATGATCGTTTCAACTAAATATTGGTGGTGCTCAAGAACTGTGTGGAAATGAGGATTATTTGGCTACAATCTCCATCGTGGGAGAAAAGACGGAGAAAGATATGGATTCTATACTAGTGGTGTCAGGATAAGCGGATGTATCGAATCACTAAAAGGACCACCACCAACTAGAGGGGACGCTTTTACTATAGACTTGGAGCTCGGGACAGCACATGTATCTAGAGTGCCTTACCGTCTATCACCCGCGGAGATGGCAGTGTTGAAAAAGCAATTAAAGGAGTTAACAGATAAATGATTTATTCATCCGAGCAGTTTTCCGTGGGGCGCACCAGTTCTGTTTGTCAAAAAGAAGGATGAGAGTTTCCGACTTTGTATTGACTATCACGGTTTGAACAAAGTGACCATTAAGAACAAGTATCCACTGCCGCGGATTGACGAGTTGTTAGGCCAACTGCAAGGAGCATCGTGGTTCTCAAAGATCGATTGAGCATCGGGGTACCATCAGATTTTGATCGCGGAAGATGATGTTCGGAAAACGGCTTTTCGAACGCGGTATGGACACTATGAGTTTGTAGTAATACTGTTTGGTTTGACTAACGCGCCAGTAGCTTTTATGAAGTTGATGAACAATGTGTTTCGAGATTACTTGGATAAGTGTGTGATTGTTTTCATTGACGACATCCTGATTTACTCGAAGAGTAGGAAAGAGCATGATGGGCATCTGCGAGTTATGCTGAATAAGCTGAGAGAGAAAAGTTATATGCAAAGTTGAGCAAATGTAGTTTCTGGAAAAGAGAGATCGGAGTTTTGGGACATGTATCAGAGGCCGGAGTGGCTGTAGATCCCGAAAAGATTGTCTCGATCTCCTCTTGGCCGACGCCTAAGAGTGCCACGGAGGTCCGAAGTTTCTTGGCTTGGCGGGTTATTATCGAAAGTTTATAAAAGGGTTTGCCAGCCTAGCAAAACCAATTACGCGTCTGACTGGTACAGACGTGAAGTTTGAGTGGTCGGAGTCATGTTCAAAAAGTTTTGAGAAGTTAAAGGAACATTTAACAGAGACGCCCATATTAGTGTTACCCAAAGCGGGAGTACCGTATGTGGTTTACACTGATGCATCAGGATCGGGGCTAGGATGTGTACTTATGCAGGAAGACCGAGTTATAGCATTCACTTCTAGACAACGACGTAAGCATGAAACGAATTACCCGACTCATGATTTGGAGCTAGCAGCAGTTGTTTTTGCTCTTAAGATTTGGTGCACCTATTTGTATGGAGAGAAGGTACAGATAATGACAGACCATAAAAGCTTGAAGTATATTTTCACCCAAGGGGATCTGAATTCAAGGCAGCGCAGAAGAATGGTGTTATTGGCAGATTATAATTTAGAGATCACCTACCATCTAGGAAAAGCCAATCAGGTGGCCGATGCATTGAGCAGACGGAGAGGCAATGCCTCCAATGTTAAGGACGTACAAGAGCTAGTCGTGACACTGGCAAGTCTGAGCTTATGCGCTACGACAATAGAAGAGAACACTACAGGATTAGAGGCAGTAAACCAAGCAGACTTATTATGGAGAATTAGAGAGGCGCAGGAAGCGGATTTTACTTTACGAAAACTAATAAATAAGGAAGTGCTTGGGTATCACACTGCAGCCAATGGAACTACATGTATAGGAATTGGGTATGGGTCCCCGAAGACGAGGAATTAAGGAAGGAGATCTTGCGCCAGGCGCACCAGCCACGTTTCTCTCTTCACCTTGGAAACACCAAGATGTATAGCTATTTAAAGCAGTACTACCATTGGGGCGGAATGAAGCGAGATGTCGCTACTTGGGTATCACAGTGCCAAACATGTTAGTTGGTGAAAGCGGAACACGGAGTCCCTAGTGGATTATTGCAGAACTTGCCGCTACCTGAGTGGAAATGGGATATGGTTACAATGGACTTTGTTACAGAACTACCAAAGACCAGCGGTGGTAAAAATGCGATCTGGGTGATCGTAGATCGACTAACCAAGTCGGCTCATTTTCTAGCAATTAAGAAAACAGATGGAGCGGATCAACTGGCTCAGAAATATTTGGACGTAATTGTAAGATTACTTGGAGTGCCAGTAAGCATCGTGTCTGACAGAGACTCTAAGTTCGCATCGATATTATGGCAGACTTTTTAGAAAGCATTGGGAACAAAAGTACGCCTCAGTACGGCATATCATTCGCAGACCGATGGACAGTCAGAAAGGACAATTCAGACATTGGAGGATATGTTGAGAGCCTGTGTATTAGACTGGAAAGGAAAGTGGGAAAAATATTTACCTTTAGCTGAGTTCGCCTACAACAACAGTTACCATTCGAGCATTGAAATGTCCCCTTACGAGGAGGCTTTGTACGAGAGACCGTGTCATACACCCCTTTGTTGGACCGAAATGGGACAGCACCGAGACTTAGAACCGGAAATGGTTAGAGAGACAGTTAAGCAAGTGGAATTGCTCCGTAGTAGACTTAAAGAAAAGTACGACCGTCTGAAAAATTATGCGGATAAGCACAGAAAAGATCTGGAGTTCGCAGAGGCCACAAAGCGTATTTGAAAATGGGAACGTTTAGGGGAAATGACAAGACTCAAAAGTTGAAAAAGCTTAAGCCAAGGTATATGAGACCGTATATTATAACAGAAAGAATTGGTGCAGTGGCTTATTGATTAGAGTTACCGCAAAAACTGTCAAATTTCCATAACGTGTTTCATGTTTCGGTACTGAGAGAAGTTGTCAGAGAGCCAGAGTTAATTCTTCTGCACCCACCTACAGATTTGACTGGTAGTCTCTCAGTACAAAGCAGTCCGGTTGAAATTTTAGATCGACAAGAAACCGAAGTTCAAGGTAGAACAGTTAAGTCGGTAAAAGTGTGTTGGGAAAGAGATGGTATTCGTGAAGAAACTTGGGAACCAGAATCAGAAATGCGAGTTAACTATCCTGAGCTCTTTTAGGAAAAGAGCGGAAATACGAGAAATAGATCGAATTCAGGGACGAATTCTTCTAAAGTGAGGGAGAATTGTATCGACCCAAACCCATTTAATTTGGGAAAAGCACAACTATTTCCCCCAGCCCAAGTCAGCCCAAACCTAAATGCATCTCTATCGCCTTCCTCTTCCTTCATCTTCAGAAAGCCGCAACGAGATGTGACGAGTCCTAGACCCTGAAAATCACGCCGAACCGCTGCCCAGATCACACCAGAGCTGCCGCCACTGTCTCTGACCAAGCCAAAGCTTATGCACTTGTTTCCGTAAGCGTGAGGAGAAGCGTGCATGAGACAACACCGAGCCACCGTGTTCTCGATCACGCTGCCACCATTCACCGTCGCCGGTGATCTGCTGCTCCAAGTCACTGCCATTGTCCGTGAATCGTTTCTGTGGTAAGAGATCCGAGTTTCTTTCGAGTTATTCCATCGGCTCCGTTGCACCCACTTTTCCCGAGAATGTTGAATTAGTGATCTGCCATTGTTGTAGTTACTTAAGCTCCAAGCTTCGTCCGCTCTACTTATTTCCTGTTGTTGGTGTTGCTACGTCATTGTCCGTGGTAAGCAAAAGCGTTGCCTTCCTTCTGTCATCCGTTTTCGAGAGTTCATGTGATCGTGACTTGTTATGTTACCGTCTCTTGTGTTGCTTCAGCCGTAAGCTTTCTCTTCTCCATTGTTGTTTATGAATGGTGTGTGGTGTTTAGTGATATATCATGGTTTTTGCTGGTTTTTGACCATGATATAAGTCCTGTTTATAGAGTCTTTTTGGTATTTTTCGAGTCCTATAGAGTCTTTGCAGGTGTAGGTACGAATGGAGCATAATTGTGGATTCTGGAACCTTTTGGAGCTATACTGAAGCTGTTGCTGAAAAGACCAAGTCGGAGGACATTAAAGAGCTAGGTGTCTATCAACACCCACCTCTTGGTGTCGATCGACACTGATCGTGGTTGCGAAGAAGCATTAAATCTCATTAGAAGAAATTGCAACTTGGCCCAGAAGTTTCCCACTATTTGCACTTTTGCCCTAGTTCGTGTTTAGACTTGTATTTAGGTTTTCTAAGCCATTGTGAGGCAGATATTCTGAGAATTATCGAGACAAAGAGAGAGATTAGATTGAGAGCTTTTGGGGAGACAAATCCATACTCTGTAGAGAAGAATTTCGAACCCCTTTAATCTTTTACTCTATTTTCTTAATGCATTATTATTCAGTCATGATTTGTGTTTCACCTGCTATGTCTGAGTAATCTGCTAGTTAGGTTTTGGGTTATTCAAAGGTTGATAATGAATTGTTAGAACTACAAAACTGGAAGGATAAATCATTTGGTTCTTCATATTGATTGCTTTAAACTGGTTTTAAGATTGATCACCTAGAAATCAGATCTTAGGTTGTTTAATAGATGTGGAAACATTATTAATCACCAGAACTATCTTAGATGAGCAAAATAACTAGTTGCAAAGGAATTTGGATTAGTGGTTTTGTGAACTTATCGAACCTGATCTATAATGCATGTTTAGGTTGTTAGAGTTTGTAAAGGAATTTGGAATTCTGGAATCTGATCATAGTTAATCTCTGCGACGGAAGTCGATTGGTTTTACACTAGTGTTTCGAGTTATATAACGGTTTTAATAAATATTCCTTTCTGTCTGTGGTCTGCGATTTATGTCAACCTGCAAATTTCCCATTGCCTAGCGCTTGTCTCTATTGATTTTAAGAACCAACAACCATCCTGATCTCATTGACTTCGCAAATATTTAGTTTTATTTTATCATCTACTGCTTAGCATTATTTGAATCTAAAATCTGTTGAGTGATAGTCTCAAGTCCTTGTGGATTCGATCCCTAAGTACTATCATGATCTCTTAATTTGAGAGAGTAGCTCTAAGGGTTAATTTGAGCATATCAAATTTTGGCGCGTTGCCGGGGACTTAGATATCGCTTTCAGATTTTTAGTATTAGAATTTTGACTAAGTTTTTATTTTCTGTTTACTAACTTCTTTCACTTTTCTGTTGTCTGTTTCAGGTGCATGCATAATCACAGTACCAGGAGCAACAAAGACAAAGAACTTGTGACTTTAGGCATCGACGAACTCGCCAAGCTAGAGAGAACCATCAGGAAAGCCAAAAAGCAGACTAAAATGGTTGGACCACTTGTTCTGAGGACAGATGCTGAAGGTCATTTAGTTGACAGAAAAGAGAACATAAGGAATGAGGATGGGCAGAGGATAGATGACAATGGCATTGTAATTGAGGAGCAGAATGTACAACAACAAGCTGCTGGAGATGTTGCTGGGCGTCATCCACAGAGGACTCTGGGAGATTACAACAGGCCAGATCAGTTCTATACAAATAGAGCTGCAATCCGCCCACCTGCCTTTCAGAGGAATGACTTTGAGCTGAAACCCAGTTACTATCAGCTTGTAAGTCAGCATCCTTTCCATGGGCTTCCACATGAACACCCAATGGACCACATTGAGAAGTTTGAAGACCTGGCTTCAAGTGTTAAAGCCAATGGAGTCACCAATGACTTCTTATTCTGCAAGCTTTTCCCTCACTCTTTGGAAGGAGATGCAGCACATTGGCTCAAACAGCTGGCACCTGCTTCTTTGACTACATGAGAGGACACTAAATCTGCTTTCCTCAACAACTTATATGATGATGCAAGGTCAGAAGAGTTGAGGAGAAATATCGCCACATTCTCCCAAGATCCAACATAAGCTTTTAAAGCAGCATGGGTTAGATTTAAGCTGTACCAAAGGGACTGCCCACATCATGGATTTAATGAAGTACAGCTGCTGGGAATCTTTTTCAGAGGTGTTGACTGGAAATATCAGATGGCTCTGGATGCAGCAAGCAATGGGAACTTCAACACAAGAGTCCCAGCTGATGCCATCAAGCTGATAGAGAACCTAGCTTCCAGCAACAGCACAAAGAATGCTGATTTTGAGAGACAGAAAAATGCTGGGGGAGCAGGAAGTAGTCAGTTTGTTGCTGAGATGAAAGCCAAGTTGGACTCTGTGCATAGTCTCCTGGTTGGGAAGAAGTCTGTTCAGTTTGCTGCTGAGGTTGAGACATTTGAGCCAGTTGAGGAGTTTGAAGAAGAAGATGTCAACTACATCAATGGAGCTGGTTTCCAAGGACAAAGGTACAACAATCAGCAAGGAAACAGAGGATTCAGTGGGAATATGCAGAGAAACATTACACAAGAAACCAGAGTTCTACTGGCTACACTCCCAAGCCTCAATTTCAGAAGTCTGAGTACCAAAAACCTTATCAGAACAACAGCTTCAACAGGAACTATGGTTCCTCCTCCTATCAGCCTGCACCAGCACCATCAGCTTCAAGCAAAATGGAAGCCATGCTTGAACAGTTGCTAGAAGGTCAGCAAAAGATTACAGTTGACTTCAATGGTAAGATTGACGCTCTGTATCAAGATTTGAATGGGAAATCGAAGCTCTGAACACTCATGTGAAGACTTTGGATACTCAAGTGGCTCAAACTGCTGGGGCTGTGAAAAGACATGATGGATTCCTTCCAGGAAGGACAGACACCAATCCAAGACACTCTGTTAACGCCATTACGCTGAGGAGTGGAAAGAATCTGCAACCAGTGCAGAAAAAGGGCTTGAAGATGAAGATTTCGAAAATTTCGAAGAGTGTCGATCGACACCAACCCCTCAGTGTCGATCGACACCGGAGGAAATTCACGACTCCTCGACTCGAAGCAAACGGATATCGACCAAGGTCGACAAGCTGCCCGACACAGGATCGACACCACTCTCAGGAACCAGTGTCGATCGACACACACCCCCTGGTGTCGATCGACGCCTACCACAGAAGCAAACTCCGAGTTCTCAGACTCCAGAAAGTGCAGAAGAAAGGGTCTACAAGTCAAAGGTGCCTTATCCAAGGAACCAGAAGAAGTCTAAACAGGAACTGGAGGATGCTAGGATCAAAGCTATCATGGATAAGCTTGTGGTTGAAATCCTTTTGATAGATGCTATAAGGACCTCACCTGTGATAAAGAGATATGTGAAAAGGATGATGACCAAGAATTTGGGGCTGGAACAAGGAACAATGATGATTTCAGAGCAAATGAGTGCAGTGATTCAGAATAAGATACCAGAGAAGCTGACTGATCCTGGGAGTTTTGTTCTGGATTGCACAATCTTTTCTGAGAGGTTTGAGAGGTCATTATGTGATCTAGGGTCAAGTGTCAACCTGATGCCTTATTCAGTTGCTGTTAGTTTAGGCATGACCGACTTCCAGCCAATCAGAATATCTCTCATCCTAGCAGACAGGTCTGTAAGGATCCCTGAAGGCATTTTAGAAGATGTACCAGTCAAAGTGGGAGACTGTGTGATTCCCACAGACTTTGTGGTTCTGACTTATGGTGAAGAACCAAAGGATCCCTTGATATTGGGAAGACCATTTCTGGCTACTGCAGGCGCCATCATAGATGTCAGGAAAGGAAGAATTGCCCTGAATGTAGGCGATTTGGTGATGCATTTTGACATGGACAAGTTGATGCAGAGACCAACAATAGATGGCCACACATTCTATGTGGACTCTCTCACCAGTCTTGTAGAGGAAATCTTCCAAGAGATGCATCCTGCAGACCCTTTGGAGAGGGCATTGACAATTTCTGCAGAATCAACAGAACATCTAGACAACATTGCTGATGGGTATGTCAAGATGATGGATGCAAATGAGCAGGTTATGCAGCTGGTTGCACAACAAGAGCTGGTTGGGACATCTGTAAAAGCTGCAAAGCAAGGTGATTGGAGTGAAGAAAAAGCTCCCAAAATCGAACTCAAACAGCTTCCTGAAGGTCTAAGGTATGCCTTTCTAGGACCTAACTCTACTTATCCTTTCATAGTTAGTGCTACCTTAAACAATGCAGAGCTCACCTTACTGCTAAGCAAGCTGCGCACTTTTCGCAAGGCTCTTGGCTATTCTCTTGATGACATTTCAGGTATCTCTCAAGAGTTGTGCATGCACAGGATACATCTTGAGGATGAGTCGAAGTCGTCAATCGAGAACCAGAGGAGGCTGAATCCGAACTTGCAGGATGTGGTGAAGAAGGAGATCATGAAGCTTCTGGCTGCTGGGATCATTTACCCGATTTCAGACAGCACGTGGGTCAGTCCAGTACATGTGGTTCCCAAGAAGGGAGGAGTGACAGTGGTGAAAAATGAGAAGAATGAGTTAATCCCCACAAGGACCATCACTGGGCACAGGATGTGTATTGACTACAGGAAGCTCAACTCTGCTACAAGAAAGGATCACTTCCCACTGCCATTCATTGATCAGATGCTGGAGAGGTTGGCAAATCACTCTTATTACTGCTTCCTTGATGGCTACTCTGGCTTCTTTCAGATCCCTATCCACCCAGATGATCAGGAGAAGACTACATTCACTTGTCCTTATGGTACATTTGCATATCGCAGAATGCCATTTGAACTTTGTAATGCTCCTGCGACATTCCAGAGATGCATGCTGTCCATCTTCACATACATGATTGAGAAGTATATGGAGGTCTTCATGGATGACTTCTCAGTGTATGGATCATCTTTTAAGGACTGCCTTGACAACCTCTGTCAAGTGCTAGCTAGGTGTGAAGAAAAGCATCTAGTTCTGAACTGGGAAAAATGTCATTTTATGGTCAGGGATGGGATTGTGCTTGGGCATCGAGTTTCTGGAGAGGGT